GCTTGCCCGGGCCTTTCCTTAATTCGTATCAGTTAGTCACTTTCTTATATCTATGAACAGACTTTACTTTATGATGGAACGCTTAATATATCTAATGTGGAAATTGTTAGAGAGAAGAGCAGCAAAGTGTTTTAATTTTGGGCAACCAAACAATCTTAACCAAAACGAGAATCAGTCACCTGAGACAATGTGTCAAATAATATATAAGCAGATTCAGAGTACAATGCGAGTCAGTTTAAACTAAGCACTGAAGAAGCGAACATAGTGATTGGCGAAACGTCAGCAAGTTTGATTTATAGGCAACCGACGCCGGAGGAATCTAGAAAATTTGTGAATAGTAAAAGGTTTTCTGTTCGAAAAATATTAATAATTTCTCTTTTTCATTTCAATAATTTTAAATACTATAGCAAGTTATTAAGAATGAAATCAATTTTGCGAATTCCTATCCATCTGATTTGAAAAATTAACTAGGATTTTGATTTTTTTGGAGGAACACAATTTTTATGTCGGGTAGGTGCGCACTTTTGATTTTAGAATTACTAGTGCCGATTTGCCCTCTGGTACAAACTTGAAATTCATTGCTAATATAAAGTTATTAATGCCTTCGCTTTTAAATATACAACGGGAACAAAATATTAGTTAGAAAAAAAAAAGAAATAAAATTCAAAACTCTACCGATAGCGCTTTTGCCGCATCGAGTGGGGTAAATATATTTGCGAATTCTTGCCCCTTTTAAAGAAAAAATATTAAAAAAAATATCTCGAAAATGTTTTAAACATAATGAATTGAAAAAAAAAAAAAATAAGAACTAGTTTGATATGTAACAAAAGACAGACTCTTAATTCAAATCAGTGGAAGTCTTAAAAACTAAGAAAAAGTTTCAAAAATATAATACAGAACAAACTATTTTGATGTCTTAGGTACTTAATGCAAATGTAAAGTGAAAGTTGAAGTATTAAAGTGTAAAGTGTAATTTAAACAGGTAGAAAAACTAACCAAATCTTTAAATCTAGCAGAAGTGCGTTGCAATAGCTTGGACAGTTTTGGGCTTGGACTTCTTCGGTTTCCATAGTTGCTGTAATACGAATAACATAAAGTCGCAAGAAGAATTTTATTTTCCCCTGAACTTTTACTACAGCAAAGTCACCGGGATTCAACTGACTGAGTGAAAATCACTTTAAGAAAAATTGAAATCGTTGCTACTATCGTGAAGGGTTATTTCTGATTCTGAATCAGGGGAGTACTGGTTTTCTATTTTCTTTCATTTATTTTCTTTTCCACTAAACATTTTTTGTTGTCTTATTTTCTCTTTCATAAAAAACGTTTCTCTTGATACTTTCATTCCTTTTTTTTCATTAAACTTTATTTTTCTTCTCCACTTCTAAAATTTTCAATTGTTTGTTATTGCGAGTTGAGGTAAGAAGTGTCGACTGTAAGCCTTTTTTTTCTCGTTTTCTTTTTGTAGAGTACTAGTAATGGTAATGTGACGTTTCGCCAATCATCCTATTGGCTTCTTCAGAGCATGACTGAAACTGGCTCCCATTTTACTCTGTACGTGCTTATATATTGTTTGAGTGGGGCGGAGCTAAATGAGGGTCATAAACACCGTCTCGAATGACTGATTCCCATATTGGTGACAGGTAGAGACCTGAGTCGCGGTTAAGATTGTTAGGTTGTTTGTAGATTTCTATAGACTCTCGAATTTTTCGTTGGTAGAAGAACTGATTACATGCAAGAATTTTAGTTTTATCGAATAAATTTTTTTGTCCGCTTTAGTGATTGTGTTCGGCAACAGCTGATGAGTTTAGTTGTCTTAGTCGTAAGACTCTTTAGTGTTCTTTGAGCCTAGTTGATATTTTTCGTCCGGTTTTTCCAATGTATTCTGTGCGGCATATGCATGGCATGCTGTAAACTCTTGGCATCTCAAACGGAATTTTATCTTTGATGGACCGAAAATGTTGAGGGATTTTTGGACAAATGGTAAATCTTGTTTTGACGTTATAAGTATTTAGAACTTTTGATATGTGGTCAGTGATGTTTTGAATGTAAGGAAGGACCACAGTGGCAAGTGTGGCATTGCTTTCGTCTTCATTGCTATTGGAAGGTTGTGGTGAAGTGTATTTTTTGATGGAACGCTGTGATAATGCTGGAATAATGTGAAAATTATTAGAGAGAAGAGCAGAGGTAAAGTGTTTTAATTCTGGGTTCAGTGACTCGGGCTGAGATAGTTTTACGACTCTGTAAACAAGAGAGTTGATAAACGATGATGTTTGGGCCGGATGGTGATGTGATGTGTATCGGTCTGTGTGTGTAAGTTTTCTATAAACACAATGACCCAATGTTAGGTCTGATTTTCTATTGATAAGAATATCTAAGAATGGAAGGTTATTATTAGCTTCCAACTCAATGGTAAAATGTATGTTAGGGTGTATAGAGTTTAAATGTCTAAGAAAATCAGCTAGGGTTTCTTGACCATGGGGCCAAATAACAAAAGTATCATCGATGTAGCGTTTCCATAATTTTGGTTTTAGATAAAAGGTGTTGAGAGCTTTCTTCTCAAAGGATAGTAGAGAACCCATAGCGGTTCGCCACGTTTGTTCAAAAATTTGAACTTTATAAGAAAAACATGTTCCCGACAAGCATTTTTCAATAAAGGTGAGAAGGTTTGGTTCCAGATTCTCGGACTTTAATATATCTGAAATGAAGTCGAGAGTTTCAGGAATACGAACTTTGGTAAAGGGGGATTTTACGTCGAAACCAACTAGAACATCTTTTAATTGCTCAATGAAGTGAAAGGAATTAAGTATGAAACTGTCAGTTTTCCCTGTAAGGGGTTTTAATAAGGAAGCTAGATATTTTGCTAGAGAATATGTTGGAAAACCAATGGTGCTGACAATAGTTCGAAGGAGTGAATCTTTGGGAGTCCGTAGAGACGAGGAACTTTAGAGTCATGAGGAGTAACAGATTTTTTCACGGAGTCTGATAGAGATCAAGCCTTAATAACAGATTTAAGGTTGCGATCCAAAGATGATCTTTTTTAAGTTGACGATATGATCCGTCTGTAACAACATCTTGAATCTTTTTCTGATATTCATTTGTGTCCATGACTACCGTAGCATTTCCTTTACCTGCTTTTAGGATTGCGAAAAATGCTTGTCGGGAACATATTTTTCTTATAATGGTCAAATTTTTGAACAAACGTCGGGAACAGCTATGGGTTCTTCACTATCACCAGTCATAGCGAATGTATTTATGGAAGCCTTTGAGAAGAAAGCTCTCCACACCTTTCATCTAAAACCAAAATTATGGAAACGCTACGTCGATGATACTTTTGTTATTTGGCCTCATGGTCCAGAAACCCTAGTAGATTTTCATAGACATTTAAACTCTATACATCCTAACATACGTTTTACCATTGAGTTGTAAACTAATAATAACCTTTCATTCTTAGATATTTTTATCAATAGAAAATCAGACCTAACATTGGGTCATTGTGTTTACAGAAAACATACGCACACAGATACCTTAATGCATTGTCACATCACCATCCGGCCCAAAAATCATCAGTTATCGACTCTCTTGTTTTCTTCTTCTTTAAGTGCCGTCAGTGCTATTCGTATTCGTGACACAGCCGACCGAAATAGTTGGTTTGTGGTGCACCCGAACCAGTCACGTAAGTTTCTCATCCATGAGTGACGCCTTCTTCCTACACTTCTCTTTCCTAGAATTTTTCCTTGTAATATCAGTTGGAGTAGTTGGTACTTTTCTCCTCTCATGACGTGTCCAAGGTACTGAAGTTTACGCTTTTTTACCGTAATGATAATTTCTTTTTCCTATTTTATTCTTTTCAGGATTTCCATGTTGGTCACTTTATCGGTCCATTTTACCTTAAGTATTCTACGGTACAACCACATTTCGAACGCCTCCAGTTTCCTTATGCCCAGTTTCTTCAGAGTCCAAGCCTCTACACCATAGTACAGTACCGACAAAACATAGCATCGCACCATTCTGATTTTTAAATCCAAGCTGAGATCGCTGCCACAGAGCACTCTTTTCATTTTCACAAATGTTGTTCTCGCCTGTCCTATTCTAGTTTTGATTTCTTCAGAGCAGTCGTTATTTTTATTTTCAATTGTACCTAAGTATTTATAACTGTCAACTTTTTCTATGGAGTGGTTATTTATATGAATTTGTGAATTGTTTTGTGCTCTTTTTGATATTATCATAAATTTTGTCTTTTTTACGTTTAGTGACAGTCCGAACTCTTCACTCGATGTATTAACTTTGTCTACTGCAATCTGTAATTCGTTTAGGTTGGTAGCTATCAGGATCGTATCATCCGCATATCTTATATTGTTGATAAGTTTAGTCCTTTCGTTTTATCGTCCAATGCTCGTTTCATTATTTCCTCTGAGTAAAGGTTAAATAACATCGGTGATAGCACGCACCCCTGCCTAAGGCCTTGACGGATTTCTATTTCTTCGGTGTTATTCCCTTCTATTTTTACCACTGCTTTTTGATTAAAATAAAGATTCGTAACAATTTTTATATCTCTGGTGTCTAAGTTCTTCTCTTTCAGAAGCTGGATAAGTTGTTCGTGTCGGACCCTATCGAAGGCTTTGTTGTAATCAACGAAACATATATAAAGATCCTGATCCATATCCATACATCGTTGGGCGAGAACGTTCAGGGCAAATATTGCTTCTCTTGTGCCTAAGCCACCTCGGAAACCGAATTGGGTCTCGCTGATATCTTGTTCTAATGTTTTGTATATCCTGTGATGTATCACTTTCAGAAATATTTTTAGCGTATGACTCATTAGACTGATTGTTCGAAAGTCTATGCATTGCCTTGCATTATGTTTTTTTGGGATAGTGACGAACGCTGATAGCAACCATTCCTTGGGTATAATACCTGTTTTGTATATGGTGTTGAACAGATCTGTTAGACTGTGTATGTTTTCCTCTTCTATCAATTTGAGAATTTCAGAGGGTAACTCATCACGCCCTGCAGCTTTTCCATCTTTTGTGTTTTTCTTGTTCTGTTACTATTCTGTTTATATCTCTCTCATCATCGAATAATTCTGTTATGTAATTCTTCCATGTTCTTAGTTTTTCTTCCATTTCCATAATAATTTTGCCATTCTGGTCAGTGAGTAATGACGGTTGTCTTTTTTTCTGTAACCCTGCCAGTTCTTTTACTTTCTTGTGGACATTGAAGCTGTCGTGCTTTTCTTGAAGGGCTTCTATTTCGTCGCATTTTCTTTTGGAGAATACCTCCTTTGCTTCTCTTATCCGTGATCGGATTTCTTTCTGAATATTCTTATATGCTTCGTTGTTGTCTTTTACACCACGTCGTTCGTTCATCAAATTCAAAATTTCTGGAGTCATCCATTCCTGTTTTTTCCCTATTTTCTGTTTTGTCAGAATGGTCTTGCTCGGCTCAATTAATGCATTTTTTAAATCTTTCCATTGTTTGTCCGTGTTTTCTTCCGCTGTTATTTGATTGTTTTTGAGGGTTCTGAGGTTGTCGTTGATCTTATTTTGTAGCCTTTGTCTTGTTTCTTGGATTTTTAGACCCGATACGTCTATACAATTTGTTGTTGGTATTACTCGTTGTTTTTTAAGTGTTATTAAAAACCGGGCTATTAGTGGATTATGGTCCGATGAGACATCTGCCCCTGGGTAGGTTTTAACTGATTTGATTACATTCCTATATCTGTGGTCTATCAAGATGTAGTCAATTTGGTTCCTGACTATATTTTGTTTGTTGTCTTGCGGAGATTTCCAGGTGTACAAACGGCAGTTTGGAAGTTTGAGGAACGTATTCGATATAATAAAATCGTTTTCTTGGCAAAATTGCAGCAGTCTATCACCTCTTTCGTTTCTCCTACCAAGTCCATATTCTCCCACATATTTGTCAAATCTACCTCTGCCAATCTTGGCATTGAAGTCTCCTAATACTAGTGTTATGTCCCTTGATTTTAGAGATTGTATGATGTTATTAATCTCGTTGTAGAATTCCTCAATGTCTTCGTCAGATTTATCTGCTGTCGGGGCGTACGTTGGAATTATGTTTAATTTATAATGATACGTTTGAAGTTGGAGTAACATGGCACGGTCTGATATAGGGGTAAAGTTTATTACTGATTTATTGATTTCTCTGGATACCACGATCGCAACTCCATATCTATGGTGGGTGTCATCACTTCCTGAGTAATAAATGGTGCCGTTGGCTATTGATTGTTGTCCAGAATTCGGCCATCTAGTGTCACTGATTCCTAGGATGCTTAGATCTAACCTTTGCATCTCCTGGATAACATTATGTATTTTTCCAGGTTCATATAAACTGCCTACATTCTATGTGCCAATTCTCATAGCTGACCCGGGGATTCTTCGCACCCTCTGATCATTTAAGATCTGCCGGGGACTGAGGGCCGTTTGTTTGTTATTCTCAGCCATGATGATTTGTACTAGGGAGAATCGATATGATCTTTAATGCAGTGGGCTCCCCTTGCCTTCTGAATTCTCATGCCGTTGACCGTGTTGGTTCATCCGCCTTTTGGACCGATTTCTCAATCCATCTCTTGTTTATAGAACCTTAAAACCCAGAATTAAAACACTTTACCTCTGCTCTTCTTTCTAATAATTGCCACATTAAAGATATTAAGCGTTCCATCAAAAAATACACTTCACCACAACCTTCCAATAGCAATGAGGCCGAAAGCAATCCTACCCTTGCCACTGTGGTCCTTCGTTACATTCAAAACATCACTGACCACATATCAAAATTTCGAAAGAAGTATAACGTCAAAATCAGATTTACCACTTGTCCCAAAAACTCTCAACATCTTCGGTCCGTCAAAGACAGAATTTCGTTTGAGATGCCAGGAGTTTACAGAATTCCATGCATATGCGGCAAAGAATACATTGGAGCGACCAGACGAAAAATATCAACTAGACTCAAAGAAACGAAAGAGCCTTAAGACAAGACTAAGACAAACAAACTCATCAGCTGTTGCCGAACACACTCATGAAACCGGACATAAAATTTTATTCTATAAAACTAAAATTCTGTAATCAGTTCTTCTACCAACGAAAAATTCGAGAGTCTATAGAAATCTATAAACAGCCTAACAATCTTAACCGCGACTCAGGTCTCTACCTGTCACCAATATGTTAATCAGTCAGCCCCCCTCAAACAATATATAAGCAGGTACAGAGTAAAATGTGAGCCAGTTTCAGTCAAGCTTTGAAGAAGCCAACTGGATGATTGGCAAAACGTGAGCAAGTTCGACTCAGCAAAAACAGACGCAGGAGGAGTCCAGAACTTTTATAAAAAGTACCTATTAACTTCGATTACGTGGAAACTGGTGTTCCAAAAATCGAACAGATTTTAGCGCGAGTCCGTGCAAACGCAAGTCGAGTGCTTTACAATGCTCTCCAGTAAAAACGTCTCTAAAACGGACCAAACGGCATTGTCGGATTTCAGTCTTTTTCGAAGAATAGATTTATTATAGCCCAAATAACTTCGTATTTCAAATATCCCCATAAGAAAAAATCTAATAAACTTCCATCATGTGCAAACCATAGCTTATAACACAAATTGTCACACAATTCCGATACTTCGTTTTCCAAACATAAATATGTATTACCAGATAAATTTTGGATGAAGAAAAAGGACATAATTAGTTGTGGTCGATTCATTTCTGGTTCTCATTAGTTCAGTATATATATCATCTCCTTATATTATGAATATCCGTGATTATTTTAATAGGATTTAATTAATAACAATTTATACCTAAAGTATCATATAAAAATTCAAAATAGAAGTTGTTTAAAAAAATATGTAAAATTTATTTATTAAGTTATTAAATATCGTTGTAAGAAATACAAAATGTCCGCTTCGCTACAAATTAAAAAATTTCCGATAGTATTTAAAATCGTTAGAAAAAAACACAAGCAAACTATTAATATTTTTGGAACAAAAGACTTTTATTTCTAAACGACTTTTCTTAATAAAATTTTTCTCAGTTCTTTGAAATAAGGGTATAACTTTACACTTTTACTATTTTTGTATTTTTTGTCCTTTCTTGTATGCTGTTTGACTTGAAACGGTTCAATTTAATTGTACTTTTTTTTATAGGGAAGTCAACATACTTTCTGTAACTTAGTCTTTGACATTCCGTGTGGATTTAGACAATTCAATTTACTTATTTATGCAGGGTGAAAAAATATTAGCACCTACTTAAAAAGTAGTTTAAGCTAGGTGGCTGCTGGCTGCTAGGGAGGGATAAGTTATTGATCCTTATGAAGAAAAAGTATTTCTGACCAGCTGTGAATGTAGATATTAAACTTCATGTAGGTAACGGTTCTCCTAAAAATACTATAGTTTTCAAATATCGCAAGAGATAATTAAGTATATGTAAGTTTCACTAAAGGTTACATCGAATTTGGTGTAGAATCTCAGATAAAGGAAATTTAGTATGATAAAATAAAATAAAAATAAAATAAAAAAATTATTTCTAAGATATAAATTATCCTTCGTTAATGGCGTATATCAAGCTTGGAAAATTTTGCTATGTTAATTCTCGAAACTCGAGACACAATATAACGAGTTCTATAGAGAATAGAGAAATGACAACATAAAGTTTTCAAAGAAACTTCAAGAGGCTAGTGTAATATTATTTACAAATCTTGCCTCATCCTGTTGGCTTCTTTATATCTAAACTGAAACTTTCTCGAATTTTATTCCATACCTGATTATACAAGGTGTGTTCAAGAAGTAATGTGACTTTTAAATTTTGCAAAGAAGTATTAATTTAGTTATCAAAATTAATGTTGTCCCCTTCAAAGTATTCCCCTCCATATATAATATACTTATGCAAATCGTCCAAGCACTTCTGAAGAGCACTTTCTGGTATAGGTGAGTTCTTCTTATCTCCTCAGTCTTTTCTTTCATGGGTTTCTTGAGTTTTGGCAACAGGAAGATCTCGGAGGGGGCCATATCTGGTGGATATGGCAGCTGAGGCATGATTGTGGTTTGGTTTTTGACCAAAAAGTCAGACACAAGCAACGATGAATGAGCAGGTCGCATGGGCAATTCCGGACGTTTTATACGTATTGCTTCTCGAACACGACGCATAAATTCAAGGCGATACTCTATATTGGCCGTATGACCTTATAGTAAGAACTTTTGATATACGCCACGATAAGCAAAACCTTGACATTTGATCGAACTTGACGTGCTTGTTTGACGACTGGGCTTTGGTGTCTTCGACATCACCATATACTTATGATTCGTAACCAGTTATGACCTTTTTAAGCATATCAGATTCATCATTGACCTCGTTTAATAGCTCTTGGCCAATGTTCCTTAGACGATCCTGTCAAATTTAAGTTCAGTTCAGTAGTTTCGGAACAAATTTCACGTTTCATTAGTCAATAGAGATACCGACGCCTTCAGTCACTTTTCTACTATTGATTCGATGATTATTCAAGACCATTTGTTTTGTTTTCATGAGTTATTGACATGCTGGGACGTCCAGAGCGAGGTTCGGCATCGGCGTCTTCTCCTTGGAACAGCTTATAAACATTTTTTTTATCAAAGTAAAAAAAAACATTTCAAGTGTTTTGCAGCACTGTATTCCATTTTTTTTTACACAAAATTTTATGCAAATTCTTTGTTCCATTTTTTTTGACAGCAGAAAATCGCTGAGCACACAAAACACGTCTAACGGTTCTATCTCACAAAAAAAGTAAAAGTGCTGGCTGAAACTGTGAACATATTTTCATATAACGAAAAAAATCGAAGGTCGAATGTACGAAGCCACCTGTCTTTTTGACCACACCTCGTATATTGTTGAATATGGTCTCTTGGTGAAGACCTGAGTCGCTGTCAAAAATTGTTATAGATTTCTACGGTTTCTTGGATTTTTCGTTGGTAGTTCCGACAAATGAGACGAGACAATGTTCATGCTCCTCCTTTAGCTACGCCTCCTTAAATAGTATATAAGCAGGTACAAAGTGAAATGTGAGGTAGTTTCAGTTAAGCTCTGAAGAAGCCAATAGGATGATTGGCGAAATATTAGCAAGTTTGATTTATAAACAACCGAAGCAGGAAGAATCCAGAAGTAAATAGACATGCAAACTTTGATAGGTTATTTATTTACTATTTATTTATTAATTATAATATTTTACTTAAAAACTATCGAAAAAAAAAGCAGGACAACGAAGTCAGGAGAAGAGTTCTTAATTTGATACGCGAATTATAAACTTGATCCAGTATACTTCCTTTTAAAAAATATTTATTTGCGGAAAATGGACACAAAACGATTAACAAGAACACTTTGCTGATGTTAATGATTACAATGTTTTAATGGTTTTTATATATTACAAATAGCATGCTCAAGCGTTATTGTCATTGTGTCAGTCCGTGTTAGTTTACAGGTATTACTCCTCCCTCCTCAGTTTTTTCAACGTCCTCGTTGATGAGGTTTTCCATGACTCTTAAAGGGATGCGTCTTTTGATGCGATACAGGTCCTCCTGAAATATCAGTGGCTCCATAAGATCTTTTTGAATCCTTTGAGGATTTTCCAAATGTCGAGTTTGATCTTGATGCATATTTATACTGATTTATTATTGCATCACACTGGTTTTGAATGATGTAACATTCTTGGAGAGAAACCTTCTGAAATTGAAAACAATTTTCATAAAAGATATCCGAAGTTTTAGTGTAGAAAAGTAGCACATTCTTATATGTCACAGTATGCAATTGAAAGTTGTATCGGGCTGTGGAAAATTGGAAGTCAGTTGGCAAGTGGCAGCTGTTTACGATGGTCTAGAATTATCCACTTAGATTTTTTTTATAACAATTTTTTATAACAAAACTGGCCCCGAGGCCTTACAAAAACAGTAACAGAAAGAAATTACAAAATATACAATTATTACACCATAGATCGTCACAATAATATTTGCTCGGGCTAACCTGTATTTTGGAATCGTTTTTAGGGTAATGCATTCTTAAATATTGCCAGATTTCTTCTACTTCTTGGGTTCCTAATGTCTCAAGATCTAATGTTTCGAGATGTACAAAAGAGACAGTTCTTAACAGCTTTTCCGAATATCGATTAAGGTTAGTTATTTCGAAATATTGGCTTTGCAATAGAATTTCAGTTTTCATTTCTATAAATTTAGAAAGAATCTTTTCTGTATTTAAATTTAAAACTTTTATATTTTCGTTAAATTTAATTGCAATATTTCCTGCCAATGAACTTAGGTCGTTAATTTTTTGAATCGATTTAAGCAGATTCTGCTTCAGTAGTAGCAAATTTTGAGTAATTGTTTCTAGGTCAGTATTGTTTAGATTGCCGGTAATAAATTTGATACCACTTTCTATGAAGTTCATTATACCTGTTTCTTACAATTAACATTGCGTATTTCACAAACATTCAACTTTGCA